ATATATATATAATATATATATATATATATATTTTTTTTTTTTTTTTTTTTTTTTTTTTTTTTTTAATATATATATTACTTCCTTTATCATGTTACTTTTAACGTCGGTTCTTCGGTTGTCCTATTATTTGCGTGATGATATGAGCGGTGTTTAGCAGGGGAAGTCAGACGAACCGTTCAGCTGTCACAGCAAAGGGGGCTGGTGTTTACGAAGGAGGGGGGGCGAGGCAGGAGGGGGATGGGAGGAGGAGGAAGAGGGAGGGGTAGGAAGGAGGGAGGGGGAGGGGGAGGAAGGAGGGGGTATGAGGAGGGAGGGTAGAGGCGAGGGAGGAGGAGGGTAGGGAGGAGGGAGGGAGGGGGTTAGGAAGGGAGGAAGGGAGGAGGGAGGGAGGAAGGAGGGGAGGGGTAGGAAGGAGGGGAGGGGGGGGGGGAGGAAGGGGTAGGGGAGGAGGGAAGGGAGGGGGTAGGAGAGGGAGGGAGGAGGGGGAGGAGGGAGGGAGGGAGGGTAGAAAGGAGGGTAGGGGGGAGAGGATCGGATGGGGGGGGATTCGAGTCGTGGCTGTCTGTGAGGTGGGGGGAGGGGGGATGGAATGGGAAAGGGTGTTATGGGGAAATGGGGGTTGAGGGGGTGAGGGTGGGGGGGGGGCTGAGGGACAGAGAGCCTCTGCAAAGTCAAGGAGTCTCTAAGGAGAAAGTCTCGACCTTCGGAGGATATTTCCGCAGGAAAGTCTAAGGAAAGTCTCCTGAACCCATGTGATAGCAACCTTGGGTAGACGGAGGGCGGGTGGAGACTATACATTACATATATATATATATATATATATATATATATATATATATATATATATATATATATATATATATATATATGTATATATTATGTATATATACATAATATGTACATATATATATATAACATATATATATATATATATATATATATAATATATATATATATATATATATATATATATATATATATATATATATATATATATATTATATATATATATATATATATATATATATATATATATATATATATATAATATATATATATATATATATATATATATATATATATATATATATATATATATATATATATATATATATATATATATATAATATATATATATATATATATATATATATATACATATATAATCCTACACATACGCTCACGCATATACACCACATGCATCTATCTGTATGTATATCTAAATACATATATACATGTATGTATACACACATAATGCACGTGTGAATATATGTATATGTACAGTATGCATATATAAAAATCTGAGTAAGTTTTCTATAATGAAAGTACAAAAATTATAACACGAACTTAGTGACACAATACAAGTTCAGCAACAGGACTAACTTTCCCATCATCATTGTCTTTCTCTTCGTGTTTTCTTCTTCTTCTTCCTTCGTTCTTGCCTCTTCTCTTGAACAGAGGATTTCCAAAGTCACCCCCCAAAAAAAGAAACTTCACAAGTTTTCATTAGAATTCACGAGAGCACGAAAGTACTCTCCATTTTTTTCCTCATCTTTTATATATATATATGTAATATATTTTTCATTTTATATCCTACTACGTTTAAACAATATTCGTTTTGTCTCATCTACACAGTATCAAAATAGTCTCCGTGCTGAAAATCGCTCAGCTGGGATGAAGTGGATGAAATCACTGGATGAAAATCTCAAGGAACTTCGTATAACTCTACCGCGTTCATGTATTGTTCTTCGTGGTTATTCCCGGGAAACTGACTAAAACACCTCGAGATATTTCTAAGAAGACAGTCAACCAAGTTTTCTGAAAGATCTCAAAAAACACAAGAAAAAAGAAAAAAAAAAAGTCGGGATTGAAGTCATGGTTTTCCATTTTCTTTCTTTCTTTCTTCTTCTTCTTCTTCTTCTTCTCAGTCTTATACATTCACTCTAAACAATATTTTTTCTTTATACATAAATGCTAAAACTAATAATAATAAGTAATGATAATAAATATTCAGATTTTTTTTTTCCAACTTCCTTTTGAACACATTTTCCATCACAAACAAACAAACACGACACACGATAAGGTAAAAGCTCATGTGTAGATATATACATACTTATATTTTTTCATATCTATCAGCTCCAAAGTTTTTATTTTTTTTTTTTTTAGTAGTCTTTTGGATCGTAACAAACAAAGAGACAACAGACATAGTGAGGGGAAAAGAGGGGAAGCTAGAAAAAGGGGTAAAGAGGGAGAAGAGAGGAAGGGATAAAAGGAGGAAGAGGAATAAGGGGAGAAGGTGAGGGAAAGGGAGACGAAGGGAGGTGAAAGCAGAGAGAGAGAGAGAGAGAGAGAGAGAGAGAGAGAGAGAGAGAGAGAGAGAGAGAGAGAGAGAGAGAGAGAGAGAGAGAGAGAGAGAGAAAGAGAGAGAAGAGAAGAGAGAAAGAAGAAAAAAAAGAGATGAAGAGAGAGAGAGGGACGGGGAAATGGGGAATAAAAGGGTACAGAAATCGGAAGAGGACACAAAAAAAAATGGATTTATAGGTATAAAAAAGGGTGACTTTCATTTTGATTCCACCAACCAAGAACAGCAGAGACACGCCACACTCTAAGGAGCTGTTAGTAATACTTGTGTTTTCTTAATCAGGAAGTCACACTTACATAATTTTTTTCCTCAATGGGGATAGAAGCATTCGAACATATCCTTACTTAGAACCCTAACATTATGGGGGGGAAAACAGGAAACGAAAAATCATACTTACAATACATAGATACAAAGAGGGGGAAAAAAAGGTGTGTGTGGGTGAGTGTGTATGTGTACCTGAGAGTTCACACATACACACGCCGATGTATGTGTGTGCATGTGAATACACTTATACACATACATACATACATACATACACGCACGCACACACATGTAGTTATATACACACACACATATACACGAACGAAAAGACCCACAATAAAAAAAAAAAAAGCGACGACGGAACGGAAAAGCAGAAACAAGGGAAAAAAAGGAAAATAAAATATTGGTTGTGTTTCTTAGCAGTTGAAGGTACCGTGGCATTGTAGGAAAATCCAGTACCCGTAACCTATTTCGTACCGCTTAAAACTAGCCGAGAAACGTCACAACGCTTTCATAAAAAAATGACACACAATGGCGAACTCAGAGCCATAATATAACGAAAGGAGAAGGAAATAAACCGATAATGAAAACGGATATACCAGTAAAACGAGAAACTTGACAATGCTGGTATAAAGAGTCCGTACACGCAATTCAATATCGATAAAACGAAATAACGAGAAACTTAAAAAACGAAACGATAAGAAAACAGATCTAACAATAAGAGAAATGTCACATCGCTGGCATAAAGTTCTACACATACAAGGACAAATGATAATAAGATAACCGAATCAATATCAGCATCAATCTATCATCTAGAGAGCGAAAACATAAGATAAAAATGAAAAAAAAAAAAACACCTAAACTAGGCTGGAGTATCTTACCATCATTTCTTAAAAAGGGATTGAAACATTTTTTGAATTTTTCTTTTTTTTTTGCGGAAACGAACGGCAAAGGCGAAACGAGAAGAAAGAGGTTTTACATTTTTTTAAGATACTCAGAATATAATACAATGTTTATTATGCCTCAATATTATTTATTACTATTATTTTTCTTTTTTATAGTTTTTTTTCCCATCTAAAAATATTTGTAATTAATTCCAGGTGGAGTTTTAAGGGAAGCGACAAGCAAGCTCCGTAAGAACAAGTTATGCTAGGAAATGTACACCTAAATAAAAAAATAAAGAGAAAGAGAAAGAGAGAGAGAGAGAGAGAGAAGAGAGAGAGAGAGAGAGAGAGAGAGAGAGAGAGAGAGAGAGAGAGAGAGAGAGAGAGAGAGAGAGAGAGAGAGAGAGAGAGAGAGAGAGAGAGAGAGAGGGGAGAGAGACAGACAGACAGAGAGACAGAGCGAAAGAAAGAAAGAGAAATAAAAGACAAAAAGAAAGAAAGAAAAAAAAAACATTCATATAACCATTAAAATCAAATACCAAACGAAAGAGGAAGAGGAAAGGTAAAAAAAAAAGAAAAAAAGGGGGGAACCGCACCTAAAACTTGTGAGCGAGGCAACAGGTCATGGGTAAAATAACATTCTATTGCCCACTGAAGCCTCAGGAAAGACAAAAGCCCTGGGTACTGCAAAGCTTCAACCCTTGGCAAGAACCGAAGCTCTTTTCTCTCAAGGGTGGGAAGGGGGGCAGGGGGGGGCTCCACATCTGGTTCATTTCCTCCGGTTCTCAAAAGAGAGTTGTCGGCAATGATATATTAACATTTTGAGCATAACTCTAAAACCATGTATAATTCACATACAAATTGACTTAATACCTATATCTTTTTTTTATATATGTAAACATATGAAACATGTTACTATGTTCGCACCTATGAAAACTACAAATATCTAAATGTTCTTTTTTTAATATAATTCTCTCACTTACTCGTTATTTTCAGTCTCCTGATTGTTCCGGCATCCAAACACGTTGGGTGGTCGGCTTCACTCATGCGACAAGACAAAAATGATAACAATACGAAGAAAACAAACGCATATAAACACGTGATCAAGTGGGTTTGTGTTTTACGATGTTGCTGTCCTTTATTTTCCCTTCATTCTTCCTGTTTTTTTTTTATATGATTCGTCTTCCTGTGTCATTCCGTTTTCTTTTCCTTTCTGACCATGGCTTGACACTTTCATTGTTTGCTATTGTCGCCTTTTTTTCGATCATGCTATACCATCTGCCACGCACACACGCACACACACGGTAGCATGCAGACATGTGCGTCTCTTCTTAAGAAGATAATACCCTTCAGATCTCTATCATTTAATTTGAACACTGTATTCTGCAACTGTCCGATCCAGATGCCTTTTTCCACATCACATTTTACAACACAAGTCATGTAACGTGTGTTTATAACCTTTCATAAATGTTTATTTGTTCGTGTATTTGTTTGTGTCTGTGTCTTTATAAAGTGTGTGTACAAGTGTGTACAAGTGTGTGACCTCAGGGAGGATAAGGAAGCTCATGAGCGACTCCAGTCATTCGTCAACGAAACTGTTTGACCTTAGGTCATCTCACTTTTCTTTCCTTTACGATGCGCCCTTCGGTCTCATCCCTCCGCTCTCTTCTATTCTCCTTCGTCCTTCTTCTTTGTTTCATTTCATTTTCTTAACACACATGAGCTCCAAGATGAAAAAAAAACAATCTTGAGAAGTCCACCTTTAACGTCTTGAAGACCCGAAGACTTCGAAATACTGTTGATTGCAGGGTGAGGGGGATACACACAACCAGGGTCACAAGCGAGTAAGGTCGGCACCAACATGATGACGGCGAGAGTGTCCGAGCGAGGCCGCTTCTTGGGAGATCTTTCCGCTGACCTTCTCTTCTCTTCTATCTTACACCGTTGTTCTCTTTCCTTCTTTTTTCCTTTCGTGTAACAACGATGCCTATTTTTTTTTCCTCTCTTTCTCTCTCTCTCTCTTCCATGTAACACTTTTCCTTATCTTCTCTCTTCCTTCCTTCGATTTATCTTTTGTCTCCCATTTGCTCTCGCGACGAAAATGTTTTTTTTTTATTTACTTTTCTTTACCATCTCTTCCGTAGCGATAAAGAAAGGTAGACTGGTGGATGGATAGAAAGAGACAGACAGACAGCATGTGAGAGAGAGAGACAACATCTGCGCAGAGACGATACTCCTCGAGATGCCAACATCTCAGTATCGTGTCTCAAAATCAAAAGACTGATCTGTCACCGTGTATTTGAAGAAACAAAAGATCCTTCTTCACAATGTTTTAATAAACCCTTTCCTCTCCTTCTCCCTCATTCCTTCTTTTACTTAATGCTTCTTCATTATTTCTTTTTTCTTTCCAAATATTACATTATACACATGAATGCCAACACACATACCACCCACACAGCACTTCACTTCCCTCTATACATTTCAATGACCTTATCTTGATCTACATATTCAAATATGTGCGGTGCATCCATTAGAATTCCGATAGTGCCTGCTGTGGTGACTGCAAAGAAAATGTAAAGCTGGAGACGATCGATCACCATGGCAACGTATTTCCAGTCCTCCCGCACCTGGGAATAAAGGTCGAATTAGCATAGCACGGCTCACGAGGAATGTATACAACAGAAAAGCTCTAAACACTAAATTGTATTCTGAAAGATTCTTGTAATAAGAAAATAAATATCTCGGCTCACTGAACATTATGCCTTTAATTGGGTTTATGATTATAAGGTTTATAATCCTTTTGAGGCATTTGCTAATCTTGCTTCATAATATTATGTCAAGTTACCATTACTCTTTTATCCCATAATAATATCATCTAAAGCACTATAACTACTGAACTACTGGAAGTCGAAGTTATTACAAAGAAGGTAGTTAACAGTATCAGCAAAAATCTATAACCTAAAAGCTAGAAAACTCTTTACACTATATCAAATTGTTAGTAATAAACACTATTTTCACTAGCCATCAGAACACACCCTCATTCATTCATTACCCCTAATTCACCCATAACAATTAATTCTCTTCAATAATAACATTTAATTCTCATGAATAATAACTTCCCCACAACAGTTAAGTCTCTCTGAACAGCTCCCTTCTAACAACTAATTCTCTTAAAATATATTTCCCCCGCAGCAATTACTATTCTTTTTCAGTATTTTTACTAACAACTAATTCTCTTTAAATATATTTCCCCCGCACCATTTTTTTTTTTCAGTATTTTTACTAACAACTAATTCTCTTTAAATATATTTCTCCCGCAGCAATTATCTCTCAGCATTTCTACCAACAACTAATTCTCTTTAAATACATTCCCCCCCCCCCACAGCAATAAACTCTCCCCCAATAAATTTCCTCCAACAATTCTCTTCCCAACTAATTCCCTTTACCAACAACCCTCCCCCTCCTCGTCCTCCTCTCTTTCCCCATCTCTCCTCCTCCTTCTCTCCCCCTCTCGTTCGCTTTAATCTCCTCCTCCTTCCCTTACCTATCTCTCCTCCTCATTCTCCCTCCTCCTCCTCGTCCTCCTCTCTTTCCCCAATCGCTTTAATCTCCTCCTCCTTCCCTTTCCTATCTCTCCTCCTCATTCTCCTCCCCCTCCTCGTCCTCCTCTCTTTCCCCATCTCTCCCCCTCTCGTTCGCTTTAATCTCCTCCTCCTTCCCTTTCCTATCTCTCCTCCTCTCTCCCCTTCCTCCTCCTCCCCTCTCTTTCCCCCATCTCCCTCCTCCTTCTCCCCCCTCTCGTTCGCTTTAATCTCCTCCTCCTTCCCTTTCCTATCTCTCCTCCTCATTCTCCCTCCTCCTCCTCCCATTCCCCATCTCTCCTCCTCCTTCTCTCCCCCTCTCGTTCGCTTTAATCTCCTCCTCCTTCCCTTTCCTATCTCTCCTCCTCATTCTCCCTCCCCCTCCTCGTCCTCCTCTCTTTCCCCATCTCTCCTCCTCCTTCTCTCCCCCTCTCGTTCGCTTTAATCTCCTCCTCCTTCCCTTCCTCTCTCCTCCTCATTCTCCCTCCCCCTCCTCGTCCTCCTCTCTTCCCCATCTTCTCCTCCTCTTCCTCCCCCTCTCGTTCGCTTTAATCTCCTCCTCCTTCCCTCTCCTCTCTCCTCATTCTCCCTCCTCCTCCTCCCTCTTCCCCATCTCTCCTCCTCCTTCTCTCCCCTCTCGTTCGCTTTAATATCCTCCCCATCTCTCCTCCTCCTCCTTCTCTCCCCCTCTCGTTCGCTTTAATCTCCTCCTCCTTCCCTTTCCTATCTCTCCTCCTCATTCTCCCTCCTCCTCCTCTTCCTCCTCTCTTTCCCCATCTCTCCCCTCTCGTTCGCTTTAATCTCCTCCTCCTTCCCTTACCTATCTCTCCTCCTCATTCTCCCTCCCCCTCCTCGTCCTCCTCTCTTTCCCCATCTCTCCTCCTCCTTCTCTCCCCCTCTCGTTCGCTTTAATCTCCTCCTCCTTCCCTTTCCTATCTCTCCTCCTCATTCTCCCCCCCTCCTCCTCTCCTCCTCTCTTTCCCCATCTCTCCTCCTCCTTCTCTCCCCCTCTCGTTCGCTTTAATATCCTCCCCATCTCTCCTCCTCCTTCTCTCCCCCTCTCGTTCGCTTTAATCTCCTCCTCCTCCTTCCCTTCCTATCTCTCCTCCTCATTCTCCCTCCTCCTCCTCCTCCTCCTCCCATTCCCCATCTCTCCTCCTCCTTCTCTCCCCCTCTCGTTCGCTTTAATCTCCTCCCCTCCTCGTCCTCCTCTCTTTCCCCATCTCTCCCCCTCTCGTTCGCTTTAATCCCCTCCTCCTTCCCTTACCTATCTCTCCTCCTCATTCTCCCTCCTCTCTCCTTCTCTCCTCCTCCTCCTCCTCCCATTCCCCGTCGACTCACCTGGATATACTCGTCTTCGTTTCTCAAATGCTCGGCGATGAACTCGACGGCTTCAGTGGCCTTGTAAGCTTCAGGAGTCATGAACAGCGAGTCAGAACTCTCCGACTCGCGACGCGGCATCTGCAACAGTGGAGACTACGCGATCGTGATCTGGTGTTGACTCAGAGGGTTCGGTGCGATGGGAGGTGTTGGTTCATCTATCGAGGGATTCGTGTGTCTTTTTTTTATTCTTACTTTTATCTTTCTATCTATCAATGTGTCTATCTGTCTGTCTATCTATCCTGTCTGTCCATCGTCTGTCTATCTGTCTATCTGTCTGTCTGTCTATCAAATTTCTGTCCATCTGTCTGTCTATCAATATTTCTGTCCTATCTGTCTGTCTATCAATATTTCTGTCCATCTGTCTATCTATCAATGTTCCTGTCTATCTGTCTGTCTATCTGTCTGTCTGTCTATCAATATTTCTGTCGATCTATCTATCTATCAATATTTCTGTCTATCTGTCTGTCTATCTATCAATATTTCTGTCTATCTGTCTGTCTGTCTATCAATATTTCTGTCTATCTGTCTGTCTATCTATCAATATTTCTGTCTATCTGTCTGTCTATCTATCAATATTTCTGTCTATCTGTCTGTCTGTCGGTCTCTCTGCCTATCTGTCTGCCTATCTGTCTGTCTGTCTGTCTATCGACTATCTACTATGTATCTGTCTATCATTGGACTATCTACTACGTATGTATCTATCTACCAATTAATCTATCAATCAGTTAATCAGTCCATCTAGATATACGTAACTACCGATCTATTTATCTATCTATCTAATTTCCTATCCGTCTATCTACCTATCTGTCTATTTACTCATTTATCTACTTGGACTGCTAATTCTTCACGATATTTTTACATGGATTTTTTTCTTCTAGGTTAAGAAAAAGATGTCAGCGGATGTGAACTAACTATAAGACAGATGGCAATCAACTGTTACTATCATGTTAATCTTTTATAATTAAGCCACGCTTTGCTTGACATAAACATGGTGTAGCTTCAGGGAAACAAATCACAAACATATTAATATTGTGATGAATATTAATAAGCTATAATTCATACGAACAACCTGTCGTGGATGTGAACGAGTTAGGGAAAACGAAAAAAAAGAAAAAAGATTTGGGTTATACATATATAAAGATTAATTAGTATGTACTTTCATCTATGTATTCTACAATCAAAACCCAACACTAATTGTTTAGAAATAAAGGTTAGATTTTTTTTTTTTTTACAGATACTGACTGTATTGAAAAGGAACTCCTTGGAATAATGTAACTGAAATAAAATAGAAATAATCAATACCAAAATAGTAATAAAATAAAGGTAATGAAATAGTAATGACAGTAATACAAGGATAATGATAGTAATAAATGGCAATGCTAGTAATAATAGTAATGACAGTAATAAAATAGTGAAACAATAAAAATGTACAAAATATACAACATCTCTCTTTTGGAAACAAATAAAAATCAAAATAAATACGACACAAACAAAGAGTATATTTCTTTTGATATAAAAAATAACTATATATCAAGCATTCGAAATAATTATAAGAAAAAATGAAAATACCTGAAAACAAATTATGATACTATTGAAAATAATCATAGATAAAATTATGATACTCCTTGGACGAAAGTAATAGAAACAAAGCAAAACAAAAAAAAATAGGAGATGGAAAATCAAAAACCACGCCTACAAAAAAATTATTTTCTTCAAAAAATTATGAAAACAATCACAAAAAAATCAAAGAATAAAAACTCCATGAAATAATTCAGTGAGTAACTGAAAAACAAGCAAACAAACAAATAAAATAAACAAGCTAATAAACAAAAAAAAAAAACAAATAAAAAAACTGACCTTACAGCAATGAATTATCTTTAATAACAAGTCTAATATTCCCAACACAACACTTAATTCTATTTCAAAATAACTAATATTTCCCCAGATTTAATTCTCTTTAAATATATCCCCTAAAACAATTTGTTCTGTTTCATAATAACTCGAATATTTTCCCAACAATTAATTCTCTATCATAGTAACTAATATTTCCCAAACAGTAATCCTCTTTCATTGTAACTTTAATATTTCCCCAAAACAATTAATCCTCTATAAATATTTCCCATACAATAATTAACTCTCTTTCGCAATAACTCTCCACAATTAATTCTCATTACTAATAACTCTAATATTTCTCCTACAATCAATTCTCTTTCATAAGGACTAACATTTCGTGAGATATTTCCCCCACACCAACTGATTCTCCTCAAATATCTCCCCCACAACAATAAATTCTCCCTAAACATCTCCCCCACAACAATAAATTCTCCCTAAATATCTCCCCCACACCCACTGATCCTCCCTCAAAAACTCACCTCTCGATTGATCTTGCAGTTGGGATGGTGGAGGCTGGACAGTTCCATGTGTTCAATCTCGCCTGTGGATTTGTTCATTACCGGAGAGCCAAAGTGGTGGTGGGGAGGAACGCCAGCTGTGAGAGGGAGACCGAGAGGGTTGGTGGTCACTTGGGGATCTACCTTGGCAGCTGGAAGAGTGCAGAGAGGAAGATCGTAGCTTTGGGGGGTGGAGCTTGCTTCTTTTTTTTAACTTTCTTATAAAGATATTTGAATTTTGGGTGTTCGTCTGTATGGGTGGGTGGATATGCTGTGGGTGTGTGGAAGGGGGGGGGGTTGTATGGGTAAGAGGGGAGGAAGGGGGAGTGGGAGAGAATGGGGATGAGGATGAGAGAGGGAGGGAAAGGGGGAGAGAAGGAGGAAGGGAGAGGGAGAGAGAGAAGGAGGAAAGTAGGGAGGGAGGAAGGGAGAGGAGGAGAGAGGAGAAATGGAAGGAGGAGGAAGGGAGAGGAGAGAGAGAAGGATAGAGAAAAGGGAAAGGAAGGAGGGAAAGGGAGAGAAAAAGAGAGAGGCGGAGAGAGAAGAAGGAAAGGAAAAAGGGAGGGAGGGAGGGAGAGGGGGAGAGAAAAGGAGGAAAGGGAGAGAAAAGAGAGAGGAGGAGAAGAGAGAAAGAAAGATAGGGGAGTGAGAGAGAGTGGAAGAATCTGAGAATAGAAGTGTATGTTGGTTGTTTTGTGTACCTGAACACACACAAACATATTTACACACACACACACACACACACACACACACACACACACACACACACACACACACACACACACACACACACCTTTGTGTTCGTGAACTTAGTGTACGTATGCATCAAGTATCAACATTACTATTACTACTACTAATCTAACGTGTCGTGTCGCCTGTTTCCTTTGACTGTGCCAATCGGAGGGTTAAAATAATCAGATTTTTCCTCTTCTTCAACTTTCCCAAAAATACGATCATAAGAAAGACAATGAAAAAAGAATGGTCTTATACGAAAGAATGTATAAGAGACTCAAAAGGGAAGAATAATCAAGTGTATCATAACAAAGAGAGGAAAAAGAAAATATATATGGAATCCACAAGGCAATAATAATCTATTAAGATGATGACAATATATATATATATATATATATATATATATATATATATATATATATATATATATATATAATATATATGTATGTACGTAATGTAATGTGAATACAAAAAGTGAAACCCACAAGAAACCCAACACTATAACCCCATCGACAGAGCAATAGAAATAGTGAACAGGCAACCGAGCAAGCGAGCAGAACAGGGCAGCGTACAAGACTCACGAGGCATGTCGTTCATCCAGTGGAGCCGTGTCTTCCTCGGGCGCTTCATGAACAGCATGATGGGCAGGAACTTGAGGAACACAGCGCGGATCCAGTTGGGCATCCTGTGCGTTCGCGGGCCCCTGGAGGAGAGAGAACGCCGGAGGACTTGTTAGGGTGAAGGATGCGGAGGATAAATAGGGATATATATAGGGTTGTGGATGGTGGTCTTGTTGCTGTGTATAGAGCTGAGAGATATTGGTTTGATTCTCATGAGTTATGTAGAGTTCAATATATTCGTAGTGTGACTAGTGTAGACTCCCACATCCCTTCAGAAACCCCCCACTCTTACCCCTCCACCCACCACCCCCCACTCTTACCCCACAACCCGACCCACCCCCATCATCCTCTACCCACACATGCACCCTACCTCTCCTCCCCCCAACCCCCCTTTTCCACCCCTCCACTCCTTAACCTACATGAAGTTCCAGTTAATGATGACCTCCCCAACCCCCCCCCCTTTCACCCCCTACCACCCACCCCTTTTCAACCTCCCCTTAACCTACCTGAAGTTCCAGTTAATGATGATCCCAAACCCCCTCTAACCCCTTTTCCCACCCCATTTCAAAACCTCCCCTAACCTACTGAAGTTCCAGTTAATGATGACCCCCTCAAACCCCCCTCCCCAACCCCCCCATTTCACCCCCCCTTAACCAATAAATAATGACCCCCAAACCCCACCCAACCCACCCCATTTCACCCCCCCCTTAACCTACCTGAAGTTCCAGTTGATGATGACCCCCCAACCCATCACCCTACCCCCCCCCCACCCACCCATTTCACCCTTTCACCCCCTCCCTTAACCTACCTGAAAGTTCCAATTAATAATGACCCCCCACCCCCCCCTTCACCCCTACCCCACCCACCCCATTTCACCCCCCCCCTTAACCTACCTGAAGTTCCAGTTAATGATGACCCCCCAAACCCCCTCCCATTTCACCCCCCCTTAACCTACCTGAAGTTCCAATTGATGATGACCCCCAACCCCCCAAACACCCCCCCCTTCACTCCCTACCCCACCCACCCCATTTCACTCCCCCCCTTCTCTTAACCTACCTGAAGTTCAATTAATATCCCCCCCCCCCCCTAACCACCCAACCCCCTTTCACCCCCTCCCACCCCCCATTTCACCTCCTCCCTTAACCTACCTGAAGTTCCAATTAATAATGACCTCCCCAACCCCCCTTTCACCCCCCTACCCCAAACCAACCCACCCACCCATTTCACCCCTCCCCTATAACCTACCTGAAGTTCCAGTTGATGATGACGACAGTGACGAGGATGGACACCGTGTTCATGACGAAGGTGAACAAGAGGTATTTGGCGATCAGCGGCAGCACCAGGGAGGTCGGCGGCAGGATTTTCGACACGAGCAACAGGAACACAACCAGTGACAGTAGAATGGAGATACCGAGTGTCACCTGAGGGAGGTTGGGGGGGGGGTTAGCTTGTCAGTATCGTGATTACCGACGTTATTATTACAATTTGAATAATTAGCTTTGTGGTTATTATTTTATCTAAATGTATTGCTTGTCACGTGTGCGTATGCAAGCGCTCGCTCGCACGCACGCACACACGCTTACTTTCTTTTCCTTATCATATTTTATCATCTATCTACTCTTTTCTCTTTTTGCCTTTCTTGAGTGTTCTTTTATCACTTCCTTTCACCCTCCATTTCCTCATCCATCCTTTCATTTCTTTCTCATTCTTTTATCAACATCTTCCCAATTATTTCTTTCTCGTCGTCTTCGTTATTTCCTCCATCCCTTCTTCCTTCTTTTTCCACTTCGCTCCTCTCTCTTCCTTGTGTATCTTCCTCATTCTTTCCTTAATTTCTTCCCTATTCTTGCTTCTTCCTCTTCCTCATTTTTTCCACCCCTTTCTCATTCTTTCTTCCACCTCATCTTGTAACTCTTCCACATTCTTTCTACCCCTTTTTCATTCTTTCCTCCACTTCCTCATATTTCTTTTACCTCTTCCTCATTCTTTCTTTCACATTTTCCTCATTCTTTCCGTCTCTTCCTCGTTCTCTCATTCCTATTCTTTCAGCTTCTTTTCCTTCCTTCGCTCCTTATGTTTTCCTCCACCTCTTCCTCCTTCTTCTTCCTTTACTCTCTCGTTTTCTTTCTACGTCGTCCACATACATTCCTTCCAATTCCCCATTCATCCCCACATTTATCCATCCTCTTTACCTCTTCCCCACTTCTTCCTTTATTCCCTCCTCTCCACCTTCGCCCCACTTCTTCAATCATTCCATCTTCTCCATCTCTCCCCACTTTCTTCTTCATTCCTCCATTCTTCCACTTCTCCCTTACATTCCACCTCTCCCTTCTCTATTCTCCCGCTTCCTCTTTCATTCCCTCCTCTCCACCTTTCCCCTTTTCTCATTCATTCATTCCTCTCCACTTCTCCTCCGGTTCCTACTTCATTCCATCCTCTCCATCAACTCCTTTCCACTTCTACCCCACTTCCTCCTTCACTCCTCCATTCTCTCACTTCCTCCTCCATCCACTCCTCTCCACCCCCCCCCCACTTCCTCCTTCACTCCTCCATCTCTCCATCCACTCCTCTCCATCTCTCCCCCACTTCCTCCATTCTCCCACTCCTCCACCTTCCACTCCTCTCCCTCTCCCCCACTTCCTCCTTCACTCCTCCATCTCTCCACCCACTTCTCTCCATCTCTCCCCACTTCCTCCATTCTCCACTTCCTCCTCCTTCCACTCCTCTCCATCTCTCCCCACTTCTCCATCCTTCTCCCCCTCTTCCCCCCCCCCACTTCCTCCTTCACTCCTCCATTCTCCACTTCCTCCATCCCCCCCTCCCCCCCCAATTCCTCCATCTTTCTCCCCTCTCCCTTACTCGCCTTTTCTCCAGCTTCGGCCGGCAAGTAGAAGACGAGGATGCAGAGGAAGGAGATGAGGACCGTGGGAAGGATCAAGTTGACGGTGTAGAACAGGGTCTTCCTCCTGATGGTGATGTAGAAGGTGATGTCGGTTTCCGTGGCGCCCTTCTCGCTCGGAATCACGTTCAGGAAGGCTGGTACCTGGTTTGGGGGGGAGGGGGGGAGAGAAAGAGGAGGGGGTGGTTAGTTGTTTGGTAAAGAGTGTTTGGGAATGTAGGGGTGGGAACGAGGGGTGGGGATGGGAGGTGGAAGGGGGGAGGGTGGAAGGGGATGGGATGGGGAGGTGGAGGATGGGGAAGGGGGGAATGGGGGAAGGGGTGGGAGGGGGCGAAAGGGAATGGGGGATGGGGTGGGGATGAGAAGGGGGCGGAAGGGAAAGGAGGAAGGGGTGGGAATGGGAGAGGGGAGGGGAGTGGAAGGGGGAGTGAGGAATGAGGGGAGGGGAAGGGGAATGGAGGGGATGGAGGAGGGAGAGTGGGGAATGGGGGAGATGGGGGGGGGTGTCAGTGAGAGTGAGGAATGAGGGGGAAGGTGAGGGGAGAGGAGGGGGGGGTCAGTGAGAGTGGGGAATGGGGAAGGGAGGGGGGAGGAGGAGGGAGTGAGAGTGAGGAATTGGGGGAAAGGGGGGGGGGCGGTTAGTTTTAATTTATCAATTTATTGTAACTATCAATTCTGTCAGTATTATCTTAATCATTGTTACAGTTGTCATCATTATCATCATTATCGTTATTATTATTATCTTTATTGTCATTATCATCATTATCGTTATCATTATCATTATCATTATTGTCATTACAATTATTATTGCTATTATCATTAACATCACTATTATCCTTATTACTACTATTATCACTTTTATTGCTACTTTAACCATCATTATCATTGTCACTATTGTTATCCCCGTTACTTATATCATTACCACCCTTATCATTATTATTCCTAATAAGACTACCACCATCATTATCATCACCATTACCCTCTCCCATACTGCTGTCGTCATTTCCATCAAGAAAGAGAGAAAGAAAGAAAAAAAGCGATTATCTGCTTCCCCAAAATCGCACATTACTCCTCCCACACACACACCAACCCCCCCCCCCCCTCCCCCTTACAATCTTTTCCTTCCAGTGTCTCCCCCGCCCACTAGGAAATAGAATAAGATGAAAGAAAAATGAAGAAGAAGAGAGAGAGAGAGAGAGAGAGAGAGAGAGAGAGAGAGAGAGAGAGAGAGAGAGAGAGAGAGAGAGAGAGAGAGAGAGAGAGAGAGAGAGAGCGAGAGAGAGAGAAAGAGAGAGAGCAAGAAAGAGAGAGACGAGAAAAAGAGAGAAAGAAGAAAAGGAGAAAACAAGAAAGAGAGAAAGAGAAAGGAGAACAAAGAATAGCGAATATGACAGAGAAGAAGAAAAAACGAGAAAGAAAAACAAGAAAGTGAATAAAGAGAAAAAAAACAGCAAAAAAAGAGAAAGAGAGAGAAGAAAAAAGAAAAAAATAAATAGAAAGAAAAACAATAAAGAGAGAGAGAGAGAGACAATTTCATCATATTAATCCTCGCTCCTCTTTCCCTTTCCCACAGACCCGCTCTAATCCTTTTAATCCTCCAAATCTTCTAATCCTATAATCCCTAATCCTTTTTCCCTGTTCTTAGCGAGGGTAATCGGTATTACTATTTATTTCTTTTTCATCAGTCTATTAGTATTGAGTGACCATGAGATAGATAGATGGATAGATAGATAGATGGGTAAGTAAATGGATAGATGGATAGATAGATTCATAGATAGATGGATGGATAGATAGATGGATAGATGGGTAAATAGATGGATGGATAGATGGATAGATAGATGGGTAAATAGATGGATAGATAGATTGAGAGATAGATGAATCGAGAAAGCGATAGAGAAATAGATGAATATATAGATTAATGGATAGGAAGGTAGATAGATAGATAGATAGGTAGGTAGACAGAAGAGAGAGAGAGAGAGAGAGAGAGAGAGAGAGAGAGAGAGAGAGAGAGAGAGAGAGAGAGAGAGAGAGAGAGAGAGAGAGAGAGAGAGACAGAGAGAGAGAGAGAGAGAGAGAGAGAGAGAGAGAGAGAGAGAGAGAGAGAGAGAGAGAGAGAGAGAGAGAGAGAGAGAGAGAGAGAGAGAGAGAGAGAGAGAGAGGAGAGAGAGAGAGAGGAGAGAGAGAGAGAGAGAGAGAGAGAGAGAGAGAGAGAGAGAGAGAGAGAGAGAGAGAGAGAGAGAGAGAGAGAGGAGAGAGAGAGAGAACAGAAACAGAGACATACAACAGAGGCAAACAGACAGACACAAAAGACGACGAAAAAAGGATGGAAGCAGTCCCCCCAAAAGGCAAAGAAAATGGACCTCGAGATGCAGCTTTACCACGCAAAACACGTCTAAAACACGTTATGTGTCAAGACCAAACAACAAACCTAACGAAAAGCACAACGATAAAAAAAATAAATAATAAATGCACAGTATGCTAATGACCTTGGATATATAAAGAATCACTGAAAAATGAAAAAAAAGGAAAAAGAATCACTATGTTAGGAATGCATAAAATAAAAAACACTGGTTAGGAATGCATAAAATAAAAAAAGGAAAAAAAAAAAAACACTGTGTTAGGAAGGCATAAAATAGAAAAAAAGATAAAAAAAATCACTGTGTTCGAAACCAATGACTGTGAACCTTATGAAAAGTGTTACCTGAATGAATATTAAGTGGAGAGGCGGTGACTTTTTTATTAAATGAAATGCTGTCTTTGATAATAATTTTGAGAATGATACTGGTAAAATTATCATACCTAGTACATTAATAATGACGATATTAATACTTATAATGATACTACTAGTACTCTTATTCCTGATAACAATGATAATGACAATGTTACTACTAACAATAACCATAATACTAATAATGAAAAGAAAGAAAAGAAGGAAAGAAAAAAAGTAATATCAGTAATAATAATAATAGGTATTCTATTATCAATATCACCATCATCATTATCATAATAAAGTACAATGATAACATTGCCAACGGTAAAAATAACTATTATTATAGCAAGAACGATAATATCAGTAACAAATATACATTGCGTACATAACAAACCAACTAATTCATCTGTTCCAAGTTTTCTGTAACAAAAATCTGCTAAACTGCATTTCCTTTATACGAATCAGGAAATCAGCTGGACGTATTTTGGGAATAAAATAGCGAATCGGAAACTCGCCAGACAAATAACAGTATATTCGATACAAAAAACCAGAATCAAAAGACTAAAATAAACATAAAAAAATGAGAAACGAAGGAAAACTCAAGTATCTATACAGAAATATGCGATGTTCGATATCTTTATAAATAATGAATAAAGAATAAAAAAAAAAAAAAAAAAACATTAACCTGCACCTCTCGCCTCCCCTCCTTCCTCTTCCTCCTTACCTGAAAACGGTCATCCAACCCCCCCTCTCCCCTCTCCCCTCGCCCCTCTCTCCTCCTCTCCCCGTCTCCCTGCCGCTATTGTCCTCTCCTCAGCTTTTTTTCCCTCACCATTTCGACCTCTTCCTTACTTTCTTTCTGTCCATTATAGCATTTGATTTATTTATTTATTTTGGTGCATCGATCTGCTCTTGTAAATGGCAAGACTGAGTTGTGTAGCTCCTATTCTCTATTTATTTGTTCATTTAATATTTTCTTTTTTATTTCTTCTTCTTCTTATACATATTTTTATTTTACATTTGCTTCCCATGCTTCCGATTCACCGTCTTTCCCATTTTCCTGTATGTCTCGGTTTTTTTTATTTTTTCTCTAGTCCTCGCGATTTCTTTCATAAGTATTCCATCTCCCTGCCCTCCCTCCCTCCCTCCCTCCCTCCCTCCCTCCCTCCCTTCTTTCCCTTTTGTCCCTCCTTTATGCCGCTGTTCCGCTCCCCCTCCCCTGGGACTTGCCCCTCCCCCCCTCCGCTTCTTCCCTCCCGCTACTCCCCCTTCTCGTCCTACCTTACCCCCCCCCTTTCTTTCTGTCCCGCCCCCCCCCCCCCCCATAACCCCTACCCTCCCTACCCTCGCGGTCACCCTTCTCCTCGCCCTCCCTCTCCCTCTTCAGTACTCTTCCGACCTGCCCTTAATTTTCTACTTCTCCAAATTCTGTATTTTACAATTTTCTACTCTCCTTCTTTCTCCTTAACTCCCTCTTTATGTTTCTTTACTCTTCCTCTTCCTTATATTCGCTTGCTTCTTACCTCCTTCTTCTCCCTCTCTATCATCCCCCCCCCTCCCGTTCTGCTCTCTCCCCTCTCCCCTATATCCACCCATATACTTTTTTCCTGATATTCATTCCTACTTTCTTCCTCTTCCTCTCTTTATTCCATCCCTTCCCTATCCCCTTTTAAAACAACCTCTTTCCTTCCATTCCCTTTCTTATTTTCTCTTCTTTATCGCCCTCCCTCTCCCTACCTCCCTTTCAAGCCACTCCTTCCCACCCTTTACCTACTCTCCCCTTGCCTCCTCCTCCTTCTGTAAAGCCTCTCTCCTATCCCCTCCCTTCCATCCTTTCCCTCTTTACCATCCCCTCTTACGTCCACTTTATCCCTTCTCCCTACGTCCTCCATCCCACCCTCTCCCACGTCCCTGACCCTCCTATCCCATCCCTCCGCCTCCTACCCCTGCCTCCTCCCTCCCTCCCTGACCCTTCCTACCCCTCCCTCCCCACTCCTCAACCCTCCTCCCCATCCCTCCCCTCCCAACCCTCTCCTTCCCCTCCTCCTTCCTCCCCCCCTCCCATCCATCCCTCCTCAACCCCTCCTCCTCCTCCTCCTCTCCATCCCTCCCCAACCCTCTCCACCCTCCTCCCCCCCTTCCCCCTACCTCCACAATATCCCACGTCCCGGACTTCCAGTAGTCCGAGAGATCCACGTAGTTCTTGTCATTGTAGAGTGTGAGGGACACTTGATCTCCGTTGAAGGTCCAGGAGCCGAATTTCATGAGGCAGGTCTGCTGATCGAACGGGAAGTAGGTCACGTCTATCGTGCAGGAACTCTGGGGAAAAAATGAGGGTTATGAGTATTTTATTTTGTGGGGGGGGGGAGTTGTGAAGGGGAAATGAGGGTCGTATTTTTTTTGAGGGGGGGGGGAGCTGTGAGGGGAAAAATAATGGCTTTGAGTGTTTTCAAGGGGGCGGGTTGTGATGGAAAAATAAGGATTATGAGTAATTTTAGGGGAGGGGGGCTGTGAGGGAATAAATGAGGGTCGTGTGTATTTTTAGGGGTGCCCATGAATATTAGGGATGAGAAACGAGAAATTGGGAAAATATGGTTATGAGTATTAGATATGAGAAATGAGGGTTTTTTAAAAATATAGCCATGAGTGAAAAAATTTGAGAGAGAGAATGAGGAATGAGGACGGAATATAATCATTAGACACGAGAATGGTATGAATGAGAATTAATATCTTCGCGGTACAAGCTTTGTACACTGTGAATATATTCATTCTCATTCATACCTTGTCTACATTTGTCACAATGAAAACTTTTCAATGGCGTCTGAGTACTTGGGGAAGTAAGGATTTAAGAAATGAGGGAACATGAGAATGAAAAACATGAGAAAAATGAAAAAAAATGAGTAGGAAAAGGACTCGGGTGTTAGTGAGGATTATTGACAATTCTGAATAAAAATGAGGAAATCTTAAAGTCTTAAAGGGGTATGACAGTAATACCATGAGGATTCTTGACCTAAAATGGGGATATGCGAATTTTAAAAATGAGGCAACGGAAGTCTGGAAACGAGGAGGGAATGAGAGAATCGGATAAAAAATGAGGACTCGAAGAACGCGTCGAATGAGTAGTCCTGTGCTGAACTAACCCCGCTAACAATGGCACAATGAGAACAATAATACGAAAGATTTTGTCGTCTCACTCTCTAGGAAACATCTTGTTGGGTCGTTTTGTTGTTGTTTTCATGTTGTTTTTTATGTTGAAGGATGTAATAAAGGCAAGGTGTTGATTGCAATTAAGACCGCTGTCAGTTTCAGTGGTTGTGTGTGTGTGTGTGCGTGCGTGTGTGTGTGTGTGTGTGTGTGTGTGTGTGTGTGTGTGTGTGTGTGTGTGTGTGTGTGTGTGTGTGTGTGTGTGTGTGTGTGTGTGTGTGTGTGTGTGTGTGTGTGTGTGTGTTGTGTGTGTGTGTGTGTGTGTGTGTGTGTGTGTGTGTGTGTGTGTGTGTGTGTGTGTGTGTGTGTGTGTGTGTGACTTATTAGATTATTGTCTGGAAGTTATGAATCTGAATATAAAAATGAAAATGATAGACGATAGCATTGTGTGTCTGAAATCAACGATAAAACAAATTTTACAAACATAGATAACACATTTATGCCTGGATTAAATATCAATTTCTGACAGCTAACACTTGCTCATTTCAGAAGAAAATGTCGACAGATCGTCGTTTTCTCTGTACCTTCACATCCTTCTAAAGAAAAAAATGAGTATGAAATTAAACTGAATAAAACGGATTATCCAAGAATTATCCAGAGCTATTAATCACACGCTAGTCAGAACGAAGCAGCTGTGATGATGAGGGCCACTCAGTGAGCACGAGACCAGGGCCACTCAATGTGAATTTTTCCTTACGCTAAGGTGATACGTGTGCTCGAAAAGTCTTTAAAAAGTCATTTAAAAGTCATACAGTTCATTGTTGAATACTTTTAAAAACTTCTCTCGCTATCGTAACTACCCTTGAAATTTGACATGGAAAAAAGGGAAAAGAAAGTTTTAAAGTCTTACGTAAGAACGATATACGATCGTGTTTAAAACGTGTTTCGATGTTGTTGGCCTAGTATTGGTTTGAATATAAATAAATAATTTTGACACATGAACATACGCAAAAACATGATGATAACAACCCGACCAAACACACACACACACACACACACCACACACACACACACACACACACACACACACACACACACACACACACACACACACACACACACACACACACACACACACCCACACACACACACACACACAACACACACATATATATACCCCCACCCCCCACACATATACCCCCCCACACACACATACACCCCACACACACATACACCCCTCACACACATACACCCCCCCCCCCCCACACACACACACATACCCTCCCACCCTCTCTTATTCCTCCTTCCCCCTCCCCTTCTCTCCCTCTCCCTCCCTCTCTCTCCCATTCCCTCTCACCTGATAGATAGCAGGAGGAACCCAAAGGACTTCTCCATAAGGATAGATGAGGACGTTGCTCTTGTACCGGACCTCGTAGTTACCGTCGGCGCTGCGGAGGAGGGAAAGGGTTAGGGAATGGCACGGAGATGGGTTGTTGTTATCACTAT